TCTACTCACAGGGCTGCTTTGGAAGAGCTTTGGTCACTAATTTTTTTCCACAGTCCTGCAATGTGTTTGTCATGAGCTCATAGGTTTCCTGAAGTCAGGTAATTTTGTCTGCTACCACAACTTAGGTCAGTCCTCAGCCACAAGGTAGGTCTTCAGTTTTAGCCTAAGGGTAAATATTATTTACTGTTCTGTTTTCATACAGCCAGCTTTGCATCTCACATCGATATCAAACAGGAATTAAGCCAAACACAGTTAGACACTGCCAACACAACCTACGTGGGGGGGTTAAATTACTTGCTCTTGATACAGTACTGGGTGGAGATAAATTAAAAGGTGGCACCTTAGCAACCATTTAAGTCAGAAAAAGAAGGCCAAAGACCATACCACATCAAGGTATGGACACAGAAGGAAGTTTTCCCCTAGGCACCTGGAGTTGTGCTTCCATTCACCCCTCACCCCACCCAAAACCACTGCTACAACGACACAACAGAACACCTCTCGCTTCTCAAACACCTCCTCAACCTAAGCAATTGTCCTCAAAAGACAAAAAGGCTTCAACACACAGGCACACACATATGCTTCTCCCAGAAGGAAGAGGGATGGTGTGTGCTTCCTGGGGCTTAGAAACACATTCAAACCACAACTTTCAAGAAGCAAGGAGAGGACTCCAAGCCCTGCACCCAGCAGAATCAGTCTCACGTTTTACAAGCCGGTCGAGGCCGTTTGCATTCTTCAAGCTGGGAGGTACGTGCCTCGGCACCCAAAAGGGAGCGGTTCGTCTTTCCAGCTCTTGTAAAACCCAATTACCCAAGATCTATGAGCAGCTGCTTTGACACCGCTCTGAGAAAGCAAACAGTCAGCAATCAGCATCTTAGAGAACTTTAACAGCAGCCAAAAGCAAGGCAGCTGCAAAAAACTGTTGTTTTACTATTTCCTTTATAAAGAGTTAAGAGACTTCCGCTGATTTATTACATTAATGTATACAAGGTACTTATTTAAAAGTTTAACAGATAGTTTGCTAAACTACTGAAAGTCAAGTCTTTCACTACATTCTTTTTAGTGAGAAACTTCACTCCCTTAAAGCAGCATTAGTGAAAAAATGTTATCTTCGTGGTGATTGGTTAAATGAAATAAAAATGTAGAACTGCATTTTTTTTATTTTTTGAACACTGTACTTTGAATGCAAAAAAAAAAAGCTTGAGAATGTTATGAAGACTGAATAGAAGGCTTACATTTTAAAAATGCCCTTCTCTTCTGATCTTCATTTGCCTCATCCATATCCTTTTTAAACATGTCATAGTCTCAGTCTTCAGTTCTTCACTGTGTATTTAAGAAGTGATTCAAACATGCATTTATCTATCTGTGGAAACAGAGATCTATAAAAAGGCTCTGAAGATGCACAGTAAAGTCAGTTCCATATGGACCAAAACAAAACTTTAAAAAGTAATAAAGAGATACGGAGAAGTTAAGACTCCCAGTGACACTTCCAAAGAAAAACATTAACTTTGTCAACTGTTGGATCCTAAGCCATCCTGACAGTCAGAAATCAGAGCATCCCAGTGAGTAAATTAAAATCCGAAAGCCTCAAGAGGAGCTATATAAATAATAATGCACTTTCCTCCCACCCCCTTAAGTCTTGCTGCAAATAATTTAACGGGATAAAAAAATGTTCCTGAAAAGAACTGAGCAGACATTTCAACAGGCTTTTAAACTTACTTTATTTGCTGAGTTTGGATAGCATGCATCATTTTACAGCACCGGTAAACAAGTCAGTGAAGCATAACTGCTTTTAGGAACTTGTACTGTGGAATGTCTTCAAAACCATCACCCTCGCCCCTCCACTCCAGCTAACACTGGCTGAAGACAAGACAGACGGATATCCGGGCAACTTCCTTACAGCTAAAAATACTCATAGCAGCGACTTTTATAGGAGGGTTTTATTAAATCAAGTCATTGCACTTGGGTCATTTATTGCTATAGCGAACAAAGGCCATTAAACAACACACACCTTTCATTTGTGGTTTTAACTGATTGTCTTGTTCTGTTCCTCTCCTACAAGCTTACATGCAGACGCAATTTCTGCAGAAATCCATTCCCGGATTTGTTTCATGCTCTGATCACAGTGAAGAGCTTGGATAACAAAATTGGCTATTCCATTACGTTCGATTCTTGCTTTTCCTCACCTGACTTTAGAGGTATGAATTCTAAATAAGAGTTTAGTGTTTGACGAGAAGCGTTTCTGCTGCACGCTGTTCCTCAATGTAAAGATCTGGCTCAAGTATTCATTTGAGATGCATCTGGGCAATGAAAAGTCAAAAGCAATAGTATTGAATCAGCTTATTAGCAATGTGACTAGCAAATATTAACCAATACTTGCATAGTATATTAAGCAAATTTCATTATTGATTTAAGTCAGCAACTGACAAATATCCTCCAATTGACTTTTTATATGTTTATATTTTATGATGCATCCACTGTGGAAAAAGTATATTCTCAAGAAACAATACTTCCATGTCACTTGCTCAAGTGACATACTAAATAATTACTATATTTATGACTATTTCCATTAATAGAAACTTCTCTTAGTTTACTTCTCTTAGCGATAAGTTGCCAAAACTATGGGGCATGTTTCTGTCATTTAAATTCATTTAGACCAAAAGGAGATTTACTAACAGAAATAATTCATTTGACTGGCTTTCTAAAGCTCTCCTGTTTTTTAATTCTTTAATCAAATGAACACAGCAATAAATATCATTGTCTCTCATCACTTTGTATATTATTTGTATATTATTCTGGTGCACTGTGTTGAGCTCAGGGGTTAAAGATAATGGCAACACAAAAGATTTCAACTGTTTTCCATCAAATATGAAAGACACTGTCTTGAAACCAGCACAATGCTGTCAAAGTAACCATTCCAATGACTCCTTAAAATACAAAGATGTGATTAAATTTAGAGGTACACAATATACTGACAAAGTTTATGGCATAAATATATAAATATTGAGACCTTTTGAGAGTATCAAAGTTCCAAAGGGATTTATTTGGAGACATATAATAAACAAAACCTGACTATTGTAAAAAAACAGATCAGGATGCACATTTAACCGCTAGAAAGACTGATGACTTCAGTTTAGATACACAGAAGCACAGACGTCGCGACTTAAGGTTTACTTTTCCACGCTGTAATATTTTAGGCACACCAGGTCGAGTTAAGACTGGATTCTAATCTTCTTTCTGTATTTCTTGCGTTTTGTGGTTTTTAAAAGTTAATTTTGTCGTAACTTCATGATTCAGTCCCAAATCCCTTTTTAATCCAATAGTGCAAGTGACAAACCGTTCTGCTGAACTACTCGGATTAGACCATTCGTTCTTACCACAATGCATAGGAGTTTCACCTGCTTCATTGCATCAACAAATTCCTATCTTGTTACTCAATTTATAAACAGCATATTATTCATATCCTCACTGCAGACAGGCACAACAGCATAACCCCAGGTAAGACTGCCAAAAATTATACAAATATCATATATTCCCTTTTGCATGTAAGGAAAAAGTAGTGACTACAATTACGATACGGTTATTCCATCCCTCCCAATAGACTATTTTACAGATTAGTTGTAAAGATAGATCACCCCATTTATAGTATAGATCTCTTTAAAAATTAAGCTACAGGTATTCAATAAAAATCTAGGAAGAATTCCCTCTCTTTTCTATACAGATTCAGTAGTATTTTCAAGCAAACCAAAAAATAAGGTCTGCAATTCCAGCACAGTAAGAAATAAGGCCTCTTTTATATTGGCAAAAAAATTACACCATTATTCTTTTTTGTTTATCTCTCTGAATAGAAGACTATATTCCTTTTTTTACTATATTTTTTTCTTTAAGACTGTTGAACACCAGCATCCATTATTATGAAATAAGAGTCAGTTCTCCTCGTGTTCAGCTTTGAATTCCTGGCGAGTTAAAAAGATTGAGTCCATTGCTGTATCATGTAGACATCACTGCTTTCTTCAGTTTTTCTATTTCAAGCTGGAAAATGGACATTTTAAAAAGAAAGAGTCAGTATTAAAGTAACAATAATCTAAAATCTTCAGAGCTTTCATCAAAATTATAATCTTTATATTTCCAAGGTAAATAAGTAAAATCGTAACAGCAGCATTTGACAGTTCAATATTTACAGCTGATTTTATCCTACTATATTGCTAAACTAAAAAATAATTTTAAATAATTTAAAATTTGCCTATTGTTCTGGGACATGTTACTGGAGAAATTAACTCTGAATAAAGCAGCCAAAGCTAGGTTGTGGAATCACTTGACATGACCCCACGTAATGCTGCATCTTCAGCTCAGACTCACTTCCTAAAGCAGCCTTCACGCAAAATAATATGCTATGATTAATTTGTATTTCTTCAAATGGATTTAGAGGTCACATGGAAGTTACCTCCTCGTCAGCACCAGTGCATATTTAAGGCTACTTCATTGACTGCTTTAGAGACGCATTAAAAAGACGACTCAATGCAAGTTCTTCTTAAGTTTCAAAAGTAGCTTTGTAGTCAGTAAGTAATACAATTTCATAAATAAAATGCCCTTTTGTAACAGACTGAAGTAATATTCTACACTGAGCTCATCCCGTTAACTACTTAATGGCATCATACTGTAATGCAGGTAGCTGCCTTCGTCAGTAAATTGAGAGGGGTGGCGTTCATTCATAATGAAATTGTTCAGATACATTCTGTTCTTTTGGCAAATTATCCACTTAATATTTAAACAGTTCATTAAAAATTTAGGAAAGCTTACTTTTGCCCTGTTTCTCTTTTGATTACCTAAAGTAAATTTCTCCTTCAAGTCTCATAAAAGCTTACAAAATCTTCTCTGTTGGAACATGTCCAGTTGGACATACTCCTAGCAAAGAGCAGAATCTACCAACGCTAAACTGAAGTCACATCCCAACATTCATGCATACGGTTAAAAATAATTGTCCAGATAAAGTAAGTTGAACTAAGATGATCTGTGAATCTTCTATATACATCCAACTGCCTCGTGAGGCATTCAATCAACCACACAGTAACACAACAACTAAAAAAAAAAAAGGTTGAGTAGGTTCATTAGGACTTTCCTACAGCATCAAATTCCTGGACGTTGCCTACACACTTCTAAACTTCCCCCACCTCAAATTGTTAATATTACCTCCAGATTACTTCGCAATAGCTTCTCCTCTTCCAATTCCTTCTTCAGTTTTTCCAGTTCTCTCCTAAGAGTAGTTAAGATATCAGACATACAAGTTAGAGGGAGGAAAGAAAAAAACCAAAATCACATTACTGAGAATAGGAAACAAAGGGTCTGGTTGTAATTTTACAAGGGGAATTCACGTAACTGTCTGATGCTACATCTTATAAATAAGAAACTTACATATAAGTACATGTCCACTAGTGAATTGGTACTCAAATCTGTTGGACCACAAGCTTCCACCAACTCACAACACTTCTTATCTATCACTATGCACCTATTCTGTATTTATAATCACATTTTTAAGTGGGCCACTAAAATTTGCACTGTTATTTTGAGAGTTGAATTTAAACCAAAATAACTCAGCAACTTCTACATAGAGAACAGAAATTCTTTAGCATAGAAAGTTCCTAAAACATGTTTTATTTCATAACTACATTCAGGCAAGAAAGTGCTAAGAAGTATCATCAAGTTACTGAAGAATTAGTTCATTGATCTCCAAAACTCATAATTTCCTACTTTGCTTTGGAGACCAACTGATCCTGATGCTTTATAAACTCTCAAGAGGTTGCTCTAAAAGCCGGTTGGGTTAGCACAAGTCATCATTTAAGTAGCACCAAAATGAATGTCTGTGCTGTAAAACTAAAACCAGAAAAGATCTATTTCCCGCAGATTGATCTTTATTACGTTTACTCACAAGCAGTTACATTTTTCTTCTACATCATTCTCCAAACACAACCCTACCCACACACACACAGATGATGGGGCCACCATGGTCATCAATTTGCACAGCTCAGTAATATCTGACTACTAATATCTAACAGTACTAACTGCTTAAGAAAGATTTTCAAAAAGCTGTAGTGAATGCAGGAGTACAAAGTAAGAAGGAAAAAATGGATACAAACTCCAAAAATACTCTGACATTAAATTTATACATATTTAGGATATCTAGTTGGATTGACTTCTATTTAGAAGTTTTGAATTAATATTAATACTGAATAGCTTTTAAGAAGTTTGGCATTAAAGACATTTGGAAGATGTCTATATACCCCCTTAGTTATTGATGAGAAGGAAAATATTTACCCATGTTCTTTCTTCAGTGCGTCTACTAAACCCATCAAATCATTAATCTGAGTCCTGAGCTCTTCCACAGAAATTTTCTCATCATCCGTTTCTCCTTTAAGTTGGATGTCTCCAGGAAAAAAGTTGAGTATAACAGAACTCGGTCTCTGAGATGAAGATGGAATTGGTGGACTGAATGCAGATGGCTGAAAAAAATAAATCCACAGAAAGTTAAGAAATTAAATCTTCATGAACTGACAACTTACAGCATATAGATTGTACTGATATAGGAGCTACATGGGCACAGGTGTCCTTAATTTTCTACCCAAAAGGCAAAAGACAATGTCCAGTTCAAATGGACTACTGTGGTATATGAGATAGTTATTTTATAGAGCTCTTTGTTAAGCATTTCCCTCAGGTTCCTGCAGTCACTGGTAAGCTGCAGCTCTCTACACTTAAAAAAAAAAAGTGTGATTTAATGGAGCCCATTGGTTCATTATAAACATGCCTTCTGTGTACCTTTCTGACCTGCTCAGTTGTTCTGTCTGTCAGAAGACTAAAGACTGAGCAGACACGATGTTTACTTGGAAAATAACACCATAGTTTAATGCTACTTGATACAACAGTCCTCATCGAAACAGATGCACTTTATAGTAAAATATAAGTAATCTAAACTAAAATTTCTACTGTGAACTTTATATTAAATGACATGATTCACCTGTATTTAAATACAGCCACTTGCATTTAGATGGTTGCATCAGTCTAAACTGAAAATGTGAACAGAACACCTAGCTGCCTGATACTTCTCTAGCTCCTTGGTATCATACCTTTTTAGATTCAACTGGCTTTGGTTTGGCACTTTCTTCTTCTTTCTGCACCTTCAAATTTTTTTCTGGACTCGCATTTTGACTTGCCTGGTAAACCATACATAAAAAATTAAAAGGTTCAGAATTAAAAGAAAAACATTAAAAAAGTAAATTTAAAAAAGTCACATGTTTCTAAAGAACAAAAAAAAATAACCCAAACCAAACCAAAGAAACCCAAACCAAACTTAAAATGCTAGACTACCATAGCTTTCTTTCCTTCTTCAGAACTCTTCTTCCCCACAATATTTGTTCAGCTGAATTTAAATCAAACATAACAATTTGGGGCAGGATTTTCAAGGATCTCAGTACTTAGCAAGTCCCTGATATTTTTGGGAGCCTGTAGGTGCTTCTATAAAACACAGTCATTAACAGGCAGTAACTGTAGATGGTAACTGGCATGACTGAACCACATAAGATCTAATGATATAATTTGATTCAAGGACTCTGCACCGATTGGATCTCATGGTTCAACAATCTCATATCTTCGCACATGAGATCACAAGTCCCACATTAGGGCAACATTAAATTACAAATATGTTGTGGCCAAAGACCATGCATTGTTAGTCTTGTAAGGCACTAAAGACACTTTCAGGGTTGTGTGTATTCACAACACCTATTTCATCATCAGTGATGCTGGAAGAGCCGAGTACTTCTTGCAGTGATACCCCACAGAACAGAAAGATTCCTTCAGCTGCAATGGAGCTGCGTTGTTTCTCTTATGTACTTTTCCCTCCTGGGAATGGATATTCCTGTAGACAAAGTCTGTAAAAACTGCACCACTGCGGCATCTTGCATTTTGCTCTCAGGTAAATCACAGAATCCTAGAATCATTTAGGTTGGAAAAGACCTTTAAGATCATCAAGTCCAATCATTAACAGGGATGGTAACTCCCCTACTCCCTTGGGCAGTCTGTTCCAATGCTTAACAACCCTTTCAGTAAAGAAATTTTTCTTAATTTCTAACCTAAACCTTCCCTGGTGCAACTTGAGGTTATTTCCTCTTGTCCTATCACTGGTTACTTGGGAGAAGCAACCAGCATCAACCTCACTACAATTTCCTTTCAGGTAATTGTAGAGACCAATAAGGTCTCCCCTCAGCTTCCCCTTCTCCAGACTAAACAACCCCAGCTCCTTCAGCCACTCGTCCTAATTCCTGTGCTCCAGATCCCTCACCAGCTTCATTGCCCTTCTCTGGACACACTCCAGTGCTTCGATGTCTTTCTTACAGGGTGGGGCCCAAAACTGAACGCAGGATTCCAGGTGTGGCCTCACCAGTGCTGAGCGCAGGGGCACAATCACTACCCTGCTCCTGCTGGCCACACTATGGTTCATAAGACTGTTTCCCAGCACAGTTGTGTTTCCTGGGAAGTTAGTTCTTAGTTCACTATTAGGAAAACACCCCAATATACTCACAGGACTGCTGCTAGTGAAACGTGAAGGCAGCCTCCTACCAGGCATCTTGGGTCGGTTTGCAGTAGGGTGCGATAGATTATCTGAGGTAGCTATTGCATCAAAGCTTAATGGATCTAGAAAGAGATGAGAAGACAGACCATCATCAAGATCATTTGCCATGTTTTTAATCACTTTTTGTCCTAAGACCAAAAAAATATTAAAATACCAGAATTCTTATTGTTTCAAAGATTTTCAGCATATATAACAAGAGCCATATGAAACAACTACCCGATTTTCACATATCTGGGAAACCACGTTTTCCCTCTTCAGAGTTAATTCAACTAGCTTTTAAATTCAAGTTCTCAACAGAAGAAGTGCTATAGTAACACAGCAGCATAAAACAGACCTAGCAAGTACCTGGAGAAAAAGATACTTATGACTGTTTTCTGAAAAAAGTTAAAAACAATTTTGAGACATGCCATATTAAACTACTTAAGAAAGTATATTTTCTTATTGCTAAACTTGCATGAAAAGCATGGAAATCTGAGTTTAGAGACTAGGACAAAAGTAAAAGCAACATGGTAAAGTACATGCCCACAGGTTCATGAAAGTTAACAAGACACTAACTGCAAATATTTCTGTGCAGAGAAGTTTTTGCATATGCAGTACTTTGTCTAAAGAAAATACACAACTGCATAAAGTCTATAATAAACTTTTCAAAACTCTATTCTTCAATTAAATCATCGATCTCTGCTGATCGATCTGTTTATGGTTATAGCTCTAGGTAAAATCTCTCAGGTCAACACAAATTCTTTACATCCTATGGGAACAGGAACAGAGAAAAGCCTGTAACAGGAAGAACAGAACACATCTAATCTAATAATATAAATAGTCCACCTCATTATCAACTGGACTTAACTGTTTCTCCACAAAAATAACAATAATACTTACCTGCCAACAGATTTGCAGTGAGATAGGTTTTTGATTTAAGCAGTGACATAAGATTATGGATATTTTATATGATTTGAGAACACCAATTCATTAGACTTATTCTAGAGACTAAATGTTTAACTAAAACACCACACAGCATTTACTACGGGCAGCAAAAGGAACATTCAAGGTTTAGGTTTTTATTTTAATGACATTATGATTTCTCAACCAGAAGCTACAACACTTTCTTTCCCT